ACAAGATAGAAAAGATGGATAGAAAATGTGTCACACTGCCTTTTTTGTGGGTCACCTTAAGAGAGCTAGACTTAGCTTGCCCTAAGCCCTTTCAAATCTATCTTAGGTTCCTTTATTTCTAATTCATACATCTTTTGTTGATGTTAAACTCAGGGGAGGCTAAAATCTTCAATTTTAGCCGGCCAGGCTCCCTTCGGGATGCAACCCTAGCTTGCATCTATATGGGCCGTGTAGGGGGAAACCCTGTGTCGGCCCTGATATCTAGTGGCTTCGGCTCATGATCAGCACATACATTGCTTCCATGAACATTGCCATGCCTTGTGGGTCACCTTAACAGAGCTAGACTTGGCTTGCCCTAAGCCCTTTCAAACCTATCTTAGGTTCCTTTTTTTCTAATTCATACATCTTTTGTTGATGTAAAACTCAGGGGAGGCTAAATCTTCAATTTTAGCCGGCCAGGCTCCCTCTGGGATGCAACCCTAGCTTGAATCTGTATGGGCCGTGAAGGGGGAAACCCTGTTTCGGCCCTGATATCTAGTGGCTTCGGCTCATGATCAGCACATACATTGCTTCCATGAACATTGCCATGCCTTGTGGGTCACCTTAACAGAGCTTGATCTGGCTAGCCCTTAGTCGTTTCAATATTGTCTTAGGTTTCTTTATTTCTAATTCATACATATTTTGTTGATGTAAAACTCAGGGGAAGCTAAAATCCTCAATTTTAGCTGGCTCTCTCTGGGATGTAACCCTAGATTGCATCCGTATGGGGTGTGAAGGGGGAAACCCTGTTATCAAGTGGCTTCGGCTCATGATCAGCACATACATTAATGCTTCCATGAACATAACCATCCTTTACCTTTTTTTAGATATTGCCCAGCTGATCTGTAAATGTGTCACTTGACCATTATGCATTGCCCTGTGATGTGTCAAGTGTCTTTGGTTTAGTTTAGTTTTTTCATGCATCTTTTGTAGAGTTTTAACTCATAGGGGCAGGGGCTATACAACTGCAATTCTTCAAACCTCCCAGATAAAATTACCTCAAAGAGAAGAGACAAAAAAGGGTTGGGCAGGGTCAGTTTTAACAATCACAAGATAGAAAAGATGGATAGAAAATGGGTCACATTGCCTTGCTTTGTTGGCCATCTTAACAGAAAAATAGAAAAGATGGATAGAAAATGTGTCACACTGCCTTTTTTGTGGGTCACCTTAAGAGAGCTAGACTTGGCTTGCCCTAAGCCCTTTCAAATCTATCGTAGGTTCCTTTTTTTCTAATTCATACATCTTTTGTTGATGTTAAACTCAGGGGAGGCTAAAATCTTCAATTTTAGCCGACCAGGCTCCCTTCGGGATGCAACCCTAGCTTGCATCTATATGGGCCGTGAAGGGGGAAACCCTGTTTCGGCCCTGATATCAAGTGCCTTCGGCTCATGATCAGCACGTACATTGCTTCCATGAACATTGCCATGCCTTACTTTTTTTTAGATATTACCCAGCTGATATATAAATGCGTCACTTGCCCATTATACATTGCCCTGTAATGTGTCAAGTGTCTTTGGTTTAGATTTGTTTTTTCATGCATCTTTTGTAGGGGTTAAACTCATGTGGAGCAGGGGCTATACAACTGCAACTCTTCAAACCACCCAGATAAAATTCCCTTAAAGAGAAGAGACAAAAAGGGTTGGGCAGGGTCAGTTTAAAAAATCACAAGTTTGAAAATATGGATAAAAAATGAGCCACACTGCCTTGCTTTGGAGGGCAGCTTTACAGGGCTTGACTTGGCTTGCCCTAAGCCCTTTCAAATCTATCTTAGGTTCCTTTTTTTCTAATTCATACATATTTTGTTGTCGAAAATTCAGGGGAAGCTAAAATCCTCAATTTTAGCCGGCCAGGCTCCCTCCGGGATGCAACCCTAGCTTGCATCCGTATGGGCTGTGAAGGAGGAAACCCTGATATCAAGTGGCTTCGGCTCTAGATTGCTTCCATGAACCTTGCCATGCCTTACCTTTTTTTTAGATATTGTCCAGCTGATATATAAATGCGTCACTTGCCCATTATGCATTGCCCTGTGATGAGTCAAGTGTCCTTTGGTTTATTTTATTTTTTTTATGCATATTTTGTTGAGGTTAAACTCGTGGCAGGGGCTATACAACTGCAACTCTTCAAACCACCCAGATAAAATTCCCTCAAAGAGAAGAGACGAAAAGGGTTGGGCAGGGTCAGTTTTAACAATCACAAGATAGAAAAGATGGATAGAAAATGGGCCACACTGTCTTTATTTGTGGGTCACCGTAACAGAGCTTGACTGGGCTTGCCCTAAGCCCTTTCAAACCTATCTTAGGTTCCTTTTTTTTCTAATTAATACATCTTCTTTTGTTGATGTTAAACTCAGGGGAGGCTAAAATCTTCAATTTTAGCCGGCCAGGCTCCCTCCGGGATGCAACCCTAGCTTGCATCCGTATGGGCCGTGAAGGGGAAAACCCTGTTTCGGCCCGAGGATCAAGTGGCTTCGGCTCCTGGTCATACATTGCTTCCATGAACAATTGCCATGCATTGTGGGTCACCTTAACAGAGCCTGATCTGGCTTGCCCTTAGTCGTTTCAATGGTCTTAGGTTCCTTTATTTCTAATTCATACATATTTTGTTGATGTAAACCTTAGGGGAAGCTAAAATCTTTTAATTTTAGCCGGCTAGGCTCCCTCCTGGATGCAACCCTAGCTTGCATCCGTATGGGCTGTGAAGGAGGAAACCCTGATATCAAGTGGCTTCGGCTCTAGATTGTTTCCATGAACATTGCCATGCCTTACCTTTTTTTTTTATATTGCCCAGCTGATATATAAATGCGTCACTTGGCCATTATGCATTGCCCTGTGATGTGTCCAGTGTCTTTGGTTTAGTTTATTTTTTTCATTCATATTTTGTTGAGGTTAAACTCGTGGCAGGGGCTATACAACTGCAACTCTTCAAACCACCCAGGTAAAATTCCCTCAAAGAGAAGAGACTAAAAGGGTTGGGCAGGGTCAGTTTTAACAATCACAAGATAGAAAAGATGGATAGAAAATCGGCCACACTGCCTTTCTTTGTGGGTCACCTTAACAGAGCTTGACTTGGCTTGCCCTAAGCCCTTTCAAACCTATCTTAGGTTCCTTTTTTTCTAATTCATACATCTTTTGTTGATGTAAAACTCAGGGGAGGCTAAATCTTCAATTTTAGCCGGCCAGGCTCCCTCTGGGATGCAACCCTAGCTTGAATCTGTATGGGCTGTGAAGGAGGAAACCCTGTTTCGGCCCTAGGATCAAGTGGCCTCGGCTCCTGGTCATACATTGCCTCGATAAACAATTGCAATGTGTTAGGTTTCATTTCTTCTAATTCATACGAAAAGGGTTGGACAGGGTCAGTTTTAACAATCACAAGTTAGAAAAGATAGAAAGAAAATGTGTCACAAGCCTTGCATTGTGGGTCCCCTTAACAGAGCTTGCTTTGCCTATATGTAAATGCTTTATTTGCCCATAATATATATGCCTTTCCGTGTAGGCATAGCTTGTCATGTGCTGTTTTAAGTGCCTCAGGTTTCTTGTTTTTTAACTTGAACATCTTTGTTTGGTGTTAAACTCGGGGGGTGGGGGGAGGGACGAAAATCACAACACTTCATAACAACCAGATAAAATTTGCTCAAAGAGAAGAGATAAAAAGTGTTGGGCAGGGTCAATTAAAAAAATCAGATGATAGAAAAGATTGAGAGTGATAGTGTACTCATAATAATCCATTGGGTCAATCAGATAATTCATCACATTTTCTATGACTCAATATAGCATACACATAATTGACCAAATCTCTACAGAAAATCTTTTAGATTTGCATTTTACACACTTGACTCTACATGAGTATGTTTGCTTGCTTCATGATAAAGTAATAATGTGATGCGAATTACACTTCCTAGGACAATGAATACCTAATGAATCTTGGAAACAATTTTGTAAAACTTGAATTTAAATTCTTTCTATTCAACAACTGATTTTCTTCGGTTTGGATTACATAGTTTACATCATGCTTTGGCATCACATTTACAAAGCATATTAGAGACTGCACTTCATCATCAAATATTTTAATTAGATTCTTCTTATTTTCCACTTTTCATTGTGATGTTAATAGTGTTCCACGCATGTTTAATTTCACATTTCATGAACCCCTTTGAATTCAGGAAGTAAGATTAGTTTTTCCTTGTCCAAAAGTATTAGAATTTGTGGTGCTATAAACCACCTACAGTTCTGAGTATGTTAACATAGTTTAATATAATTTAATGTAGTTTAGTATATTTTGATGTAGTTTAAATGTTTTGAGTAAGTAATTTGATCTAATTAAAGGTAAAATAATGTAGATTAGTAATTTAGTTAGATTAGTTTTTAATATAAAGTTTAATTGGTAGATAATATTAAATTTAGTATCTTTACTTAATGAATCTTAAACCTTAAAGAACTGTGGGTGGTTTACACTGTTTTAAGTTTGTATCTAATATTTTTGAATAACGAAAAGTTTGTCTTCCTTCATGAAATTCAAAATTGGGTTCACGGATTGTAAAATTAGATGTCACTGAACACTTTTTGCATCACCAAAAAACAATAGAAAGGTTCCTTCTTTACTCATAATTAATTTGAGGGAGTGTCTTACATTCAATAACCTCTATCAAACTCTGCGCAAGATCCATATAAATTTGGGGAAAACACACTTAATTGATAAATAAATATATTTTACTTTAACCTATGTCTAGGTAACTTCATGTTTCAGAAGCAGGTGTTAGAGAATTAAAATGCTAGATTTGTGGTATATTACATTGATAGACAGCAACAAATACATCGCTGATTCATCAATTATCTGTGAAAGAGAGAAAAATAAAAGGCATTTAAACTTCCCATTTTGAAGTGCTTCAAAAATAATGATTGATAGGACATAATTTTTTTGAATAGGGAGCTCCCATTTTTAATTCATTATGCACTCTGTGCAAATCTCATGCATTTCAGAATGAATAGTTTTCATGCCAGGTATACACGAGGTGGTTTAACAAAGCATACCTATATATGCATGAAATCACCATTGTTCTCCCAAAGCAACAAAATATTTTTGAATGGGATAAGAATAATCTAATACTTGCTTCACATAATATGAGTGGGAAACATGCTTCATATGATATGAGAAAAAATGTAGGCCTTCAAAAGATTTTCAAAACTCAAAACTCATTACCTTTTAAAAAAAATAATGGAATCAGAATTGTTGCATTTGAAAATTGTATAGAAGAAACATGAATACTTTATTTACCCTATATATTTCCTGATCTCATTCAAGATTATAAAGCAAGCCTTCTACAAGCCTAAAAAGTAGAATCACAAAGAGACTTCTACTAGTTTCTACCTTTGTTATCAACTGAGGAGAGGCTAAAGTCTGCACTTGACCATAGTATCTGTTTTGTCCTGTAGGCGTGGCTTGCTCTGTGCTGTGTCAAGTGTCTTTCATAGATTCCTCATTTGTTAATTTATACATCATTTGTTTGTATTAAACTCACGGGAGGATAATATTACAACTCTTCAAACCACCCCCAACAAAAATGCCTCAAGGCAGGAGAGACAAAATGGGTTGGGCAGGGTCAGTTTTAAAAATCACATCATAGAAATGATAGATAGAAAATGGGTCACACTGACTTGACTTGTGGGTCACCCTAACAGATCTTGCCTTGCCTATATCTAAATGCTTCACTTGCCCATTGTATCTACCTTGTCCTGTAGGCTTGGCTTGCCCTGTGCTGTGTCAGGTGTTTGAGATTTCCTCGTTTTCTGATTTAAACATCTCCGGGAGGTGGGGGTAGGCAGTGAAAATCTGAAGAGAAGAGACAAAAAGGGTTTAATAGGCAGGGTCAAATTAAATATATCACATGATTAAAAAAGATAGATAGAAAATGGGTCACACTGCCTTGTCTTGTGGGTCACCTTAACAGAGCTTGACTTGGCTTGCCCGAAGCCATTTCAAATGTCTTAGGTTCCTTTTTTTTTCTAATTCATACATCTTTTGTTGATGTTAAACTCAGGGGAGGCTAAAATACTCAATTTTAGCCGGCTAGGCTCCCTCTGGGATGCAACCCTAGCTTGAATCCGTATGGGCTGTGAAGGGGGAAACCCTGTTCCAGCCCTAGGATCAAGTGGCTTCGGCTCCTGGCTTTTTTATGACATATATTTATGTCATGTTTAATTTCTGCCCAAGCGACATTTGCTCAATTCCTTTTTTCCGTCAGAGATATGGGATTAAGACATGGCTTTCAATTGCAATTTAGGTTTTAGGCTGTAGGTTAGTTTAGATTTGTTGAACAGCATTAATTTTGCTCCCGATAGTATGCCAGGAACGGGTAAACAACCCCAGGACTTGAATTCCTGCATTAGATCTACAGGTGTTCATTTCCGATAAATACGTTAGACAATAGACTTTTTTTTCGGGGACCTGACATTCTCGCGGTGCTGTAGGCTCCTCTCATTTTCTTCGGTACCTAGTTCAAATCACTCTATCTATTGTGCTTTGTCATTGGTTATATTTAATTAAATGTATAACTCCTTTCTTAATTGGTAGATTGAACTGGTCTAGAGGTCGGGTGACCTCAGGGTAATTTTATATATCCCATCTTGTGACTGGTTGTCTACATAAGGGTTCTCCTGATTGGCTAATAAGATCATGTGATTTTTAAGCCTTCTCGGGTGCCTGAGTATGTAAATGCCATGTGAGGGATTTTGTAGCTCAGTTTATTTCATTCTGTTCAATCTATAGGGCCGCCCATCCTCTGAGAGGATAAGCTATTTAAAAATGTCCTTAAATATATAATCTTTGTTTGAACTACTGGAGCTTCGGCTCACTTTATAAAGATAATAAAGTGGACTTCAACTGTATATCCGAGCTTCTTTCGTTTTCATTTAGTTTATGAACTCGTTGTCACCGACCCATTACGGGCCCAGTTTGCAAACCAGTTTACTAACTGGTAGTATGTCTTTAACATTTTGTCAACACAATGAACCTCTTGCCATGGGTATAGGCCAAATAAAAAGGAAGAAAAGATAATTATTTATCTTAAATATGAATTTATATATACATGTATTTACAAAGAATACATTCCAGTTATTTATATCTCATGATGCATTAACTCCAGGTAGCTCCGCCGCCGAAGGTGTCGGAGCTCCAGATCCTAAACCGGGAAAAGATTCAAACAGCGGATTTGGTCCTTTTAGGGGTGAAATCTAAAAAAGTTGTAATTAAAATTTAGACTTACAATGTTTTTCGACTCCTGGTTGACCGGATGCCCTGAGGAATAAAAAAACATTGTAAGCCTACATTTAAATACCGGTAACTACTTTTTTAGATTTCCAAAAAAATAGGACAAAACCCGCTGTTGAAACCATTTCCCAGTTCGGGATCTGGAGCTTCAACGCCTTCGGCGGCGGAGCTCCCTGGCGTTAATATGCATATGACTAATAAATACAAATGATGTAATTGTGTCTACACACGATGATATGTATATGTATATATGTACAGCACGGCAGCTGAAAACCCTGTGTCAGATTATTTGTGTAAAACTATATATATGTGCAATATTGACGAAGACTTATATCTTAAGCTATCTCACATGAAATAACGGACAAAAAAAATACAAACAAAATTCAAAATAAAGAAAAAGTAAAAAAAAGAAAGGTGTTTTTACAATAAAGGGAACAGCAGGCCATTTACCTGCATTTATATTTATTACTTTTTTCATACATTTTTTGTATTTATCTATTTTTTGTGGGGTTTTTTTCACAAAAAAGTGAGTGTCCAAGTGAACGTGAGAAAGGATTGGTAGCTCTTCTCTTCCTTTTTATTTGGCCTAAGTACATCTCCAGTATCTCATCTATTCATTATGTAAATAAACATATATTTTTGATGTAAATGTGTCTACGCACGATGATATGTATATGCACAGCAAGGCAGCTGTGAGATTATTATTTCTTCTCCTTCTCCTTCTCCTTCTTCTCCTTCTCCTTCTCCTTCTCCTTCTCCTTCTCCTTCTCCTTCTCCTTCTCCTTCTCCTTCTCCTTCTCCTTCTCCTTCTCCTTCTCCTTCTCCTTCTCCTTCTCCTTCTCCTTCTCCTTCTCCTTCTCCTTCTCCTTCTCCTTCTCCTTCTCCTTCTTCTTCTTCTTCCAGTATAGTACTTGTGTCTACGGACATCTTTTGTTTCTCATCTATTCATTATGTAAACAAATATATATTTTTGATGTAATTGTGTCTACACACGATGATATGTATATGTACAGCAGGGCAGCTGTGAGATTATTTGTGTACAACTATATGTCTACGGACATCTTTTGTTTCTCATCTATTCATTATGTAAACAAATATATATTTTTGATGTAATTGTGTCTACGCACGATGATATGTATATGTACAGCAAGGCAGCTGTGAGATTATTTGTGTACAACTATATGTCTACGGACATCTTTTGTTTCTCATCTATTCATTATGTAAACAAATATATATTTTTGATGTAATTGTGTCTACGCACGATGATATGTATATGTACAGCAAGGCAGCTGTGAGATTATTTGTGTACAACTATATGTCTACGGACATCTTTTGTTTCTCATCTATTCATTATGTAAACAAATATATATTTTTGATGTAATTGTGTCTACGCACGATGATATGTATATGTACAGCAAGGCAGCTGTGAGATTATTTGTGTACAACTATATGTCTACGGACATCTTTTGTATCTCATGTATTCATTATGTAAACAAATATATATTTTTGATGTGATTGTGTCTACGCACGATGATATGTATATGTACAGCAAGGCAGCTGTGAGATTATTTGTGTACAACTATGTCTATGGATATCTTTTGTATCTCATCTATTCATTATGTAAACAAACATATATTTTTGATGTAATTGTGTCTACGCACGATGATATGTATATGTACAGCAAGGCAGTTGTGAGATTATTTGTGTACAACTATATGTCTACGGACATCTTTTGTTTCTCATCTATTCATGATGTAAACAAATATATATTTTTGATGTATTTGTGTCTACGCACGATGATATGTATATGTACAGCAGGGCAGCTGGAAACCCTGTGTGAGATTATTTGTGTACAACTATATTTATGTGCAATACTGACAAAGACTTTATTCTCAATCCTGATTTATCTCACGTGAAATAACGGACAAAAAAATACAAAAAAAATTCAAAATAAAGAAAAAGTAAAAAAAAGAAAGGTGTTTTTACAATAAAGGGAACGGCAGGCCATTTACCTGCATTTATATTTATTACTTTTTTCATACATTTTTTGTATTTATCTATTTTTTGTGGGGATTTTTTCACAAAAAAAGTGAATGTCCAAGGGAACATGAGAAAGATTTTATTTGGCCCAAGTACATCTCCAGTATCTCATCTATTCATTATGTAAACAAATATATATTTTTGATGTAATTGTGTCTACGCACGATGATATGTACATGTACAGCAGGGCAGCTGTGAAATTATTTGTGTACAACTATATGTCTACGGACATCTTTTGTATCTCATCTATTCATTATGTAAACAAATATTTATTGTTGATGTAATTGTGTCTACACATGATGATATGTATATGTACAGCAAGGCAGCTGTGAGATTATTTGTGTACAACTATATGTCTACGGACATCTTTTGTATCTCATCTATTCATTATGTAAACAAATATTTATTTTTTGATGTAATTGTGTCTACACATGATGATATGTATATTTACAGCAGGGCAGCTGAAAACCCTGTGTGGTGGGGCATGCGCGGAAGTGAAGATTTTTAGCCGGCCAGGCTCCCGTCAGGGATGACACCCTAGCTTGTTTCCGTAGGGGCTGTGAGCCCTAGGATCAAGTAGCTTCGGCTCCTGGTTTTTTGTATTTTACATACTTTTTGTTGTACTGAACAAATTTGAAAATGTATATCAGTATAGCGATGGGTATCATTTTTTTGTATAACATTTATCTTTGTTTCATACTTGAGCAGTACTATTTGCGATTATCATTTTTGTACTGTTTCGCTCCTTGTGTGAAATATTTAGGGGAGGCTGAAATCTTCATTTCTTTCGTGCATGGTACTCATATCAATAGATTTTACAGCTCTCGATCTGTACCTTAATTTTGGATATGCCACTTTACATTTTATATGTGGCGCTTGATCTGCCTCATTTGTATACTTTCCTCATTCAGAGGGTTGAATGAGCTGTGCCTGTGTGTTATTTATTTCCCATAAAATGAAACCTTGTATGTACACCTTTACGATGTAAAGAAAAGAGAGTTATTCATATTAGTGATGTTCTTGGGTCATATTGGTCAGATGAAGATCTATGCCCATGTGTTATTTTCCACGAGGGATACCTTGTATGTATAATGTAGGGTAGCTGGAAACCCTGTATTTTCTGGGGATGTGTTCAAGCGTTTTTGGAAGTGAACTGTACCGTACCTGCTCCAATGACAATGCATACCTTGCCAGTTGTTTTTTTTTCCAAGCGTTCAGGCGCTTATGTTGGAATCTCATTCCCATTTTCTGTGTTAATTTCAGGATATGTGTACAACAGCAATTTTCAATTTGGCGCGCTTGATCACTTCCGGTACGTTACAAAGGAAAATATTACATACAGCAAAAGAGAGTTATTTTTATACATTTACATAATGTCTGTTCTCAGGTTATATTGGTCAGATGAAGATCTAGCTATGCCCATGTATTATTTCCTACCAGGGAAACATTGTATGTATAATGTAGGGTAGCTGAAAACATGCACCTCTACCATGTAAGAGAGTTTATTTTGTATACATTTATATCTCACATGACGAACTTAGAAAAGCCTTCTATGCTCATTAATGGATATGATTTGTGATCGAGTGTTATAATGGTTATATTATACAGTACTGCAGGGCAGCTGAAGTCCCTTTAGACATGTACCATCCTATCATGGAGAGTTTATTGCTATGCATTTATTTTCATATGACGTGCTTATATCTGTATACTATATAAACCCCGTTGAAAGAATACATGGTTATATAACCGCAAACCTCGCTCAAATATGTATAAGCCTGATTTGTATCAGTTCATTATGATCACATGATATGTGCCTATTTTTGTACATGTATATTTGCTTATTTAAGGGTATGTTTATGCTCAACTTTTTCTGGCCAGAATAATGCATTTCTTACGCGTTTAGTTCAAAATACGGTTGCGTCCTTTCTCATTTTTGTAGAATCACCGAAAAACGGCTATCATAAACTCACAAAAAGGTGCGTTTTGGATCGGTGATTCTGCAAAGAGACGGTTTATGGGGAAGCGAATCCAGCTGCAGAGCCAGAATCATGCCTGGAGGAGCCAGAGAAGTGAGCATAAACAGTACACCGTGGAACTGCGATTACGATGAGCGTTTCAATCGCTCATTCTGCCATCAAAATTGAGCATAAACGTACCCTAAATGAAACCAAAGATCTATAAGAAAGTTCATGTCACTTCATCTGCATTTCAAAGGCAGATTGGGGGGGGGGGTGGTTGAGGGAGTGGATAAAGCACCTGCGGCTTCCCCTGCTGGTATTACAACATTTAATTTGTGTTCAGCACCGAGTAGGAATTGCTCAGTGTGTTGTAGGGTCTGGTCTAGCTACCATAAAGAGAACTGAGAAACTGGAGACGCTCCTTTATTTTCAGTTTCTGTCCTCCATTACCATTTGGTTATCGACTAAAATCTATGTTTCTGTATAAAAACATTAATTGACCCGAGGTAAATGTACACATATGAGGGTTCAGTACCTTGATATTTCCATTTTGTGCTTTTGGTGAGCTCCACTCTCTGTATAATACGTGTATACTATATCTCCCTGAGCAGTGGTGTAGCGACATGGGGACACAGTGTCTCCCAAGCAAATGGTGGTAAAAAGACAAAACGAAAGGGAGAGGGGAAAGGGAGGTGAGAAAAAATATGATTATTCATTTAACATCACCCCCCTAATCACATCTTGTGAATTCATATTCAATCCACCTATTAAAACAAGTGCCACCCTCCCCCATAATACCAGTGCCCCCTGAAAACAGCTGGGCCAATGCTACACCACTGTCTCTACCTCAAGTCAAACTATATGATCCTTAGGCAAATGAAAATGGTACAAAAGATTACATGATAACTCTGTCATTTCACCAAACTACTCAAAATGAAACGATTCTTGGCAAATTTGTCTGTCTGTCATTGATTTCATCAGTGTGACTTGGGTATTATGCACCACCATTGCATGAGTCTAAGGAGATGATATATAGCCAAAGACTGGAGTGTTAAAATGTAACCAGGCTTGCTCTTATACAGAAAACAAGTTTGAGTCAAGGGTGCTATGTTAGGCCATTTACTTGACTTCTATTGTTGAGAAAATGGACTGCCCATTATCAGTGTTCAAACTTTGTAAGTTGTAATTCTGTAATATTCTGAGTGACAGACTTCAAACTTGTCAGTAACGTGGCTCACAAAGCAGCAATATGTAAACAGGTTCAGACTTTTGTAATTAAATTCCTAAAGCAGGTGGATGCAATTATTTGTGACTATCAGGCCTTTGATAGGAAAGGGGTCTGCATTTGTGAACTGCTTTATACATTTAAGTCAAACTTCATACTGTATACATGTATGGGTAGCGTTTCACAAAGCCGTCTTAAGTACAAGTTCGCTGACAACTTATTGAAATGTATTCAATTTAAAGCATGCAATGTGACTCAGTTGTATCAAATGTGTACATATATTGGTACTCTTGATTATCCAAAAATGTTGATTGATTAACTGGTCTAGACTTCAGTCATGGTACAATTAAATTTCACTAAGTGCTCTCCATTTTTTTTCCAGCACTGATTAGGAAATTTGAAGTGTGTTGTAGCTATGGTCTGGTCTACCATAAAAAGCAATGAGAAACTGGAGTTGCTCATTCATTTTCAGTTTCTGTCTTCCGTTGTCACTTGGTTATCAACTGAAATCTATATTTCAGTTTAAAAGCATTAAATGACCTGAGGTAAATGTTCACATATGATGGTCTAGTACTTTAATAGGTGTTTCTATGTTTTGCTCTTGGTGAGCTCCACCCTGTATACCTGTATACTACATTCCCTGAGCAGTGGCATAGCTACAAAGGGACACAATGTACGTCTCCCAATCAAATGATGGAAAACAAGACAAAATGGAAGAGGAAAAAAGACATAAGTAAAGGGAGATGGAAAAGGGAGGTTAAAACAAAAATGTTATTAATCCCTTAATTAATATCATCCCCTAAATCTGAGATCTTACAAATTCACATTCAAATCACCTATTAATACAGGTTCCGCCCTCCTCCAAAATAACAGTGACCCCTAAATTGGTGGACCAATGCTACACCACTGTCTCTACCTCAAGTCAAACTGTTTAATCCTTAGGCAAATGAAAATGCTACATAAAAGCTGTTATTAAATGCTATACCTCTGTCATTTCACAAAACTGACTCAAAACGAAACGATTCTTGGCAAATTCGTCTGTCATTGGTCTATCATGAGTGTGACTGAGGTATACATGTTACATCAGCTTACTTCAAATCATCAAGTCCGGTTGGGTGGTCGCTTTACACGATCTTTTGTGAAACTAAAACAGAAGATCATCCAACCTTTCGTAGATTTGCCTTAGGGTTTTCACGAGGTGTCTGGCAAATTGGACCAGACTATTTGAAGATGAGAGTGGTTTATTTTGTAATCATATTACTCCTGACATTTCGTGAATAAAGGGGCATGTTTTCACAAAAGGTCTGGTAATGCTGCCACAATGATTAGAAGTAAGCATGTTACATTAACCCTATGTTCTAAGGCAGTGTATGAGCCTGTGTACTATGAGCCTAAGGAAATGATAGCCAAAGACTTGAGTGTTAAAATGTAACCAGACTTGCTATTTAAGAGAAAACAAGTTTGGATGAGGGGTGCTATGGTAGGCCATTTACTTGACTTTATTATTGAGAAAATGGACTGCCCGTTATCAGTGTTCAAACTTCGTAAATTGTGGTACATAAGTCTTACAATGAAAGATAAATAGCATCAATGTCTGAGCTGTACAGTCTTTATGATATATATGCACAACAGAATCTAAAAAGGCCAATATATGGATATAATTACTACTTGGCATATAATTTAGGCACCACAGTTTGGCAGAAATAAATGGTTTCACAATATGGCTGATGTCAGCACCACTTCATTGGGGAAATAGTCTGCATGGCAGATGTCAGCACCAGTGCACAGGATAAATGGACCCCACTACGTGGCGGATATATGTACCACTCCGTAGCAAAAAGGGTACCACTATGTGGCGGATATATGTACCGTTACCTAGCAGATGCATGCACAACTGCAAGGCTGATGAAGGTATAGCTGACAATGGGTCAGCCTATGTTGTGGATATAAGCACCACTACATAGCAGAAATAAGTCATTACAGACTGACTACAGGCATCACTGACATAGCAGATAAAAGGCTAATAGCATAGATACAATAGACTACAATGGTCTATCTTCAAACAAGGCTGTTTCAGCCCTAAACTATGCAATTAGGTTATAATTGTAACCTAATTAAAACCAAAATGATATTGGAGGACCACTCCATAGCAGACATGAGCCATATACAAGAAGCCATTAAAGAGTTGGAATTATAACATCATTCTAAACAAATTGAGAAAAAGAAACACCATATAGACTGTGCAAGCCTTTGACTGATTGATGCTCTGGTGCCATGAACCTTCCCGCTCATAAACTCAGCATGATTTAGAAATTATAATCTTTATAGTCTTTGTTATCATTTCCCAGGCTCATAGACATAGCAAAGTTATTGTTGGAACATGGGGATTAAAAGTTTAACTTCATATATACCAGTATCGATCATGAAAGGCATTTACATGAACTTGTAACATCAGTATTTTCAGTTATTTTTGTATGTTATGTATGTATTTTGTCTCTTTACATGTATGTTATGTATGTATTTTGTCTCTTTACGTGTATGTTTATATTGCATTACTTGTAACATTATATTAAAAAGTCTGTCAGCCTAACAAAATTCTCTCTAATGAGGTCATATGCTGACGATGGTGGTCCAGATTTAAATGCCGGCCATGCCACGACACTTATTTGAAAAACTGATAGATTAGCTTTATATCTAAGTGAAAATAATAATGTGACAGTTCTGTAAGACAGCAATCTTAATTGTAAACACAAAGTGCTACATGTCCATACGAGAAATGTTAAATAAATGAAAAATGAAAATAAATTGCAGTGAAGACTGAATACAAAATAAGTGTCTTCATAATTGCTTTGTTTTGTTTTGTGTTTTGTTTTGTTGCTTTAATTGTTTCCCTATTTCAAATTTGGTGTGATGTTCTTACCTTCTTCTCCTCTGCTTTTCTCTCTGTCATGTCCTTGGTAAATGTGCTTTTCTTGAACCACTTATTGGAGCTAGCTTGCAGTCCTCACATTGTCAGATGTTTCCTTGTGAGATGAGCTGAATGGGGATGATTAGTCTGTTTGGCTGGCGGGCTTCTCTTGAATGTTGTTTGCTTGTGAGATGAGCTGAACGGGGATGATGAGTCTGTTTGGCTGGCGGGCTTCTCTTGAATGTTGTTTCCTTGTGACATGAGCTGAACGGGGATGATGAGTCTGTTTGGCTGGCGGGCTTCTCTGGAATGTCGTTTGCTTGTGAGATGAACTGAACGGGGATGATGAGTCTGTTTGGCTGGCGGGCTTCTCTTGAATGTTGTTTGCTTGTGAGATGAGCTGAACGGGATGATGAGTCTGTTTGGCTGGTGGGCTTCTCTTCAATGTTGTTTGCTTGTGAGATGAGCTGAACGGGGATGATGAGTCTGTTTGGCTGGCGGGCTTCTCTGGAATGTTGTTTGTTTGTGAGATGAGCTGAACAGGGATGATGAGTCTGTTTGGCTGGCGGGCTTCTCTTGAATGTCGTTTGCTTGTGAGATGAGCTGAACAGGGATGATGAGTCTGTTAGGCTGGCGGGCTTCTCTTGAATGTCGTTTGCTTGTCAGATGAGCTGAACAGGGATGATGAGTCTGTTTGGCTGGTGGGCTTCTCTTGAATGTTGTTTGCTTGTGAGATGAACTGCTCAGTAAGGAGGAGGAGGTTATCTGCAAGTAGATGTCCAGGTAGATGAACAGACATCTTCAAATAAAATTGGTGGGCACCCATTGATGAAAGAGAGGTGGAGAAAGATGGAGAAAGATGGAGCAAGGTAGAGAGAATGAGAGGGAGAGATAAAGATAGAGAGATGGACAAACAGAGAGAGGGAGAAAGAGAGATAAAGATAGAGAGACAGACAAACAGAGAGAGGGAGAGAGAGAGAGATGGGTAATAGGGAGATGAATGACAGCCTACAATGATTATAAAAACTGTGACTTTGTAGGTCTTTATTTTGGTACATCCACCAGCCAAGCTAGCAAGCATGCACATACGGAGGGGGGGGGGGGGGTGTTTTGGGGGATAAACGCCCCCCCCCCCCCCTAAGAGAGAGAGAGAGAAATTCCTGGAATTTCCGCTGAACAAATTAAAATGCAAAAATAAAATTAAAAAATCACATTTTTAAAAGAATTAGCATTGATTGGATAAGAATTAGTTCCAAAGGATACCTGAATAATCCAATTAGCGTGGTTATTTATTAAAAAAGAAAACAAAAATAAATTATTTAATGACGCAAAGTTATTCTGCGTTTGCACATACCGATGTGGGTTCAAAGCGCCATGAGCACCGAAAGGTGGACCTGTGCGCTATACAAGTAGCCACTATTATTATTATTATTATTAAGACTCTTCTCAAATAAGCACTTACCTTCGATAACGACGCACTTTCTCACCTAGCCTTCCTGCTATACCTGAGGGACTCTTTCTATTCCTCAGCTATGCTTCAATAGGTCCCTCATATTCTACTTAATCTATATGAATTGAGAATCATTGAGATGTGGTTATTTATACTATAGTTGTATCATAATTTTTTATTTCATATGTATGTCTATATTTTCTGTAAAATGTGGACCAATAAAACTTGAAACTTGAAATGTCAAGAAGTGCAAACCATTGTATGTTGTCAATAATTAGATTTAGATCATCAGAATATACTGAAGTTGTGCAAAATACAAACTTTCTTATTGGCAATGATTCTACTTCCATTTTATGCAATATACTTACAGTGTTGGGTGCAGTATCGAATAACATACTGCCTCGTAGCATCGCGGCTACACTGCAGCCCTTTAAGGGTCAAAGCCTGACACCTAGGCCGCCTTCTGTTTACCATTTCGAGTATCCTAGTATGATGAAAATACATGTAAGATATAGTTAATACACTTAATATACTTACTCGAATGATCAAGAAAAAGGAATGATTAACATATTTCAGTTATATTTCAGTAATCTGTTCACAATAATAACATGAAATATTGAAATACAAAAATAAGTTATGGAATGCACATTATTATCAAAGTGTGCCTATACAAAAATCATATGATATCTTTCTAGTAAATGTAATATATGGAATTGCTCTTTAATAATTCTTTGAACAATTTTTAATTAGTTTGCTAAATGGTTGTTTGGTATATGTTCATTTTGTAATCACTGCATTGGTAATTCATATTCCTGTGATCTCTTGACTTATGCATCAAGAAATAATTGCCACTTTGTTCCTAAAATCTAAATGATGTACATAAAAGAAACCAAATGAGGTGATAGTGCATTTGCAGCCAATATATTTCATGTCTGTGAAATTATTAAACTGATCATTCAGATTTCAAAATATTTCAAAATACATGTATAAGCTGAAAAACTCTCTTGATAAGAAACATGGGTGGATAGTGATTCTTTACATTTTTGATATATTTGGATGCCTCTGTGGATGTATTATAAGCACTAGAAAATTTAGCCCCTAAAACATTTCCGCTTTCGAGAAAAATTCAATATAAAAATTACTGGTGCTCCCGGTAGATTTTGATGAATCTCAAATAGCGCCTACGGCCGTACAATGATAGCTACGACCATGAAAATCTCAGAATATGTAGTTGTGATATAATTTCCAAACGGAAATAGCTAATCAATCAATTTAGTCAAGAAACATTGTTTTATAGCTTAATTAATATCTTGACCATGAAAATCTCAGAATATGTAGTTGTGATATATAATTTCCAAACGGAAATAGCTAATCAATCGATTTTAGTCAAGAAACATTGTTTTATAGCTTAATTAATATCATGACCTTCAGAGGGAGCTATATAATAAACTTCCACCTTGTGCTGTTGATCATATGACATCATTTGACACCGCTCTCATTCGCTCTAAGTACAAAATTATTAAGTCAACTTATATTTCTTCTTCCCATACTTTTATTGATACATTTATATGACAAACTTTGCAAACGTTGTTGGTCCGTATTACTTGCTCTTATATTATACTTTTGTAATGTTTTTTTTATGGAAATGTTACATTTTGTTGTTGTTTCATTTTCTCATTCATGTATTGTGTTGAATTTCATATTCATATACACAGGGCCCTAAAGGATAACAGTGACTAAGCCACCTTCGGTATGATAAAACAAAAACATATGAATAACTAATTTTTTTAAAGTAAATATTCAAAAAGATTTTCATGAAACTGTAATTACTTCATCGACTTAGGAAGTTTTAATCCTTATAACGCAAGCTGTGATGTAGGAAACAAAACCAAGTATTTTTTTATTTTTTTACTAAATAATGTTTTACATTTTCAACTGTTCAAATATATATTATTAAGATTTAATCAACACTAAATATAAATTCTACGATTTTCTGAAGAAAAAAATTAATTCTGAAAATCTATCGCTTAAAATAGAATGGACCGTTCTCATGCCCTAAATTTATTTGATATGACCCCTTTTCTTCTAGTAAAGCAGGAGAATTCTTGTGACAACTTGCCACAACATGTTTAGGGGACAGATATGCTTATTCTCCTTGGATGTTGTTTGTAATAAAGCCTTAAAAAAACAATCTTAACTTGTAGTTCTGAAATGTACATAAAGATTAGGGGATATTCAACCAACAATTCCATACAATTTCCATCAAGATCTGTTGACTACTTTTAAAATCTCGTATCTCTGTTGAGAAACCCCCTATTGGGTTATATGGTTTTGCCCGACACTATTGTTTGAGTACTCACTCTTCCACCGTGTAAAGATCTCGATGCTGGTAGCACACGCGGGAGAGGTGTCTGGTCTTCCGCTTACACCTCTCCCCGGCCCTCGTCCTACAGAGGCACCGGTGCGCTACCAGCGCCAACGGCCCCACGTTCACATTGACCTACAGCGGCCCGTTGTTATATTGGCTGCATAGTCCATGGCTCACTGCAAGGAGAAGAGAAAAACCGAGTGATCATTTATTAATCTTATTAGGCCTGTACTATTTTTATGAGATAATCATTGCAGCATACATTCTTAGATGAGCAAGTTCTAGATTTCTTTAATTGATATATGCTTGTAATGTTATTAGGTGCCTCAATATAATGTTTACATTTATACTGTTTTCACACTGGCATTATTTTGCTTAACCCCGTACTATAGGTGGGGGTCTTAGCCCCACCTATAGTACGGAGTTAAGCCTATTCCACTTTCTGTTCAGACTGGCTTTTACCAAAGTGGGCTAAAGTTGGCTAACCCCACCTATAGTACGGGGTTAACTAACCCTGCAAAATAGCAGGGCTAACTCCGCAATTGTGGTGCTACCTCCTGCTAACCCCGCAATTGCGGTGCCAAGCAAATGAATGAGAACAGAAACGAAAAATAGTCCGGTACTACGCAATGGAGCGTATCGCAGCTGGCCAGATGCGAAGTATGTCCAATCATAACATTCACGATATCCGGGGTTAACGAATTGCAGTGAGAACAGCGTGAATTTTCTTATTCCGGAATAGGCGCTAGTACGGGACTAGTGTGTGAAAAGCCAAAAAAAATAGTCCGGGGTTAAGGATAGTACAGGACTAAGCAAAGTACGGGGTTAAGCAAAACCAGTGTGAAAAGAGTATTAGATTACTACATACAGGCATTCCTTTTAGTCACAACATATTTAACTTTCTAATTTTTTTTCTTCATTGTTTGATGTCAATGCTCGGGCCATGCTCTAGGGCCATGCATCTCAGATTTAATGTTGTTAAACGATGCCTTTAATGCGATCTCACAAATCTTGAAACTTTTCTGATCCACCTCATGTAATGTCTGCACCCCTGGTAAAATTCTATTTTTTACGAGTCTGTGACCTATGTAGGTAGGAAGGCCGGAGATGGCCTTTGAATGAGGAAATGTCTCTCCCCCCCCCCCCCTCCTCCACAGAGCTATCATTGATTATTTGACATAATCAAAAAGCAAAGAATGGGAGGGGCTCAGGGGGCTGAATGAGGGTTCCTTAGCCCTTCACCTGCTTAATATATTGTAAGGTTGCAGTCAGGCACGTACGTAGGGGGGGGGGGGTTTTGGGGTTAAACCCCCCCCCCCCCCTCAATTTTTTTTTATGTGTATGTTTTTCGTGAAACCCCCCCCCCCCCCCTTTTGAGTTTTTTTTTTTTTAAATAATAAAAAAAATAAAAAAAAAAAAAATTATGCCATGGCTGACCTGAAAAAGGTGACCACCCCCCCCCCCCCCCCCACTTAGCGAATTTTCGGCCGGCGCGATTTTCGTTGCGAAATTTTGGGCCCGATTTTAAAACCCCCCCCTTGAAAAAATCCTGCGTACGCCACTGGTTGCAGTTCTAACAGATAATTCCTAGCACTT